TCCGATCTTATAAATATATCTTTATATCGGACATTATATAAAGTGCATTGAAATTACTCCGCAAACCTACAATTTCTTCTTCTATAACCTGCCTCTACTAGTCATTAAGCTCACTAAATCCGCTTTCTCCCACTACTCAAACAATCGCCTCAAGTAACTTTTTTTTGTTTTCTCATATTGTTCTAATGTTGCTGGTGCGCTGCTTAAATCAGTCTCTCGAAGTATTCCCCGCATCTATCCTTCACCTCTTTTCGAAAGTTTAAAAATTCTCAAATTCAAAGTTATATTCAAAATAATGTTCTTCTTCTTGATATTAAAATTATTAAAGAAATTCTAGAGAGTCTGAAACTTTTTCCTTTTATAAAATTTGAATTATTAAACTGAATAATTCCTTATCAATATTTTTAGAGGCTTAAACAACCAGAATAAACATTTGCCTTTTTTATTTATGCAATTCATTTTTTTGTTTTTTTAATTAATATTGATCTTCTTTTATTTATTTTAAGTTTTATGCTTCCTTTAAATCTGCATAATGGATATATTATTATAAAATTTTTGGTGAGATTTGGAATTTATTGTATTTACGATTTTGATTAATCTATATCGATTTTTAGATTATCAGATAAATAAAACTATCAATTTTTAATTTCTGATAAAAATTTGAAGTTCTAAATCAACATTTTAATTTTTATTAATTTTCTTTTGAATCTATAAATCCATTTTGATAATATCCTTATAAATGATTATAATCTGTTGATATTCAAAACCCTTTGTTAATAAAAAATATATATAAGATAGTAGATAATTTTATGAACAAAACCTCTAAATGAAAAATTTTTCAAGAAAATTTTTTGGTTTCATATTCCTTATAACATAACTAGAATGCTGAGAAAACTAAGTTAAAAATTGATAAGCTCAAATATAAGTTAACCTATAAAATTTGCTTCTTTGTCAGATCAGCTAAGACAAATTGAAAAGAACATTCTAGAGAACCAAAAATGGGTGCTGACATCAAGACACAAGATGCTGAATTAATAAACATAATTTCAGGTCTAAAGAACGAAAGGAAGGATTATCAATTACGCTATAAGAAAAAGTAATATAGGAAGAATTTAAATTTTATTGATTTTCTATTAATAGAAATAGAAGCAGGGCTGGTATTAATAGTTCAAGTAAGGAGTTATAATATATATTATACAGTTTCATGTTTTAATAATGATGAAACCAATCATGAGAGTAACTAAAAAGTATTCGCCAAGGAAGTATGTGATATGGAAAAAGTGATCCAAAAATCAATCATTCAAACGATTAATTTTAGACTATGAAATTCAATATCTAAAGATTTTGTATTTATGTGTTCAATTATATGATCAATGCAAAGTAAAGATAGTAAATAAAGTATGTTCCACTACTCATTCTATTTTACCTAATATACTACGCTTTATTAGATATTTGGTCTTAAAATTATTAATTTTACTAATTTGAATTCTGATTTTCTTGAGAATCTTTAAACATTTCTCATCATCACAACTAAAAAGAATTTGATTTCTATATAGAGAAACAAACTATTATTTCTTTTAGAGGGTAAGTGTTAATCTTAAATTATTAATCTAAAAATATATAATTACTAAGTAGAGATTGTATTATTTATGTCTAATTCATAAATTCATACAGATTTACTTTATATAAACATAAGCCTACATATAATTAAATATTAAACTTATCATTGGATGGTAGAGCTTTCATTATTTTTGTTGTTATTTAGTTTAATAAAATCAAAAAGATTAGATCTGGTTATAAACATATTACAAGTAAATACAAATGTGTATACGGCGTTTATCTATTAGAATTATTTTATTTTAATTCATAAAAATTATAATATGACTCTTCTAAATCCTTCTTATGGTTTTTATAAATGGTTGATTCCTGTTATCTAAATTCTAACAATGACTCACAGTTATGTCCCTAATCAAAATTTTGATGAAAATCTGTTAAAATTGTACAAATTACCATTAAGTCTGTCCCATTTGCTACTCTTCTAGGCTTAATTCTTACCTTAAATCTTAAACTATTTATTCGCTCATGAAACAATTGCTAAAAATAGTAAATAATGTTATTCCTGGTTTGATTGTCTTTACGAGCAAGCATGACTTGATCATTGAATATTTGATGACCTCCAAAATAAGCTAAATTTATTGAATTTTTGAAATTAACAAAAAGTGACCTCCCAGAATCTTTCTCCTTTTAGAAGATTACTCAATTTTTCAATCGATTACAGTCATTTAATCTGTATTTTAAAATGAATTTGATAAGAAATGGAAGAAAAATAACATTATTTAATTTTTTAATAAATAAATGAATATTCATAGAATTGAGTTATTGAGAATATAATAAATAATTGAATATTTCTTGTTATTGTTATTGTTTATAATTGCGTTAATAATTTGAAAATTTCAAATTGAATAGAGTTTGAAGTCTTGCATTTTAATCTATTTTCAATTGCAAATACTAAACTGTATATTTATCCGAAATTTGATATTATGTGATACCTCATTAGTTTAACAGATTTAAGAAAGTATACTTAATTTCCAATCGTACAGTGAAATTAATTAAGAAATGTAAATGAAAATAAGAAATCTATTACCTCACATTCTAGATTCATTCATAAATCCTAAAGATAGCGGACTTTTCTTAAAATCCTATTATTAAGGCTTGATCGAATTCAAATTATAGAATAGGGTTATATTTGCCAAATTCATAAGCATCATTGATTTGGGCAAGAAATTATCACATAAGTGTAATCTGATATTTCAATTATAAATACAAACACTCAGAATTGTAGACATTTTATTAATCAGGTTTTTCCAAAAGCTGTCTGTTATTCAATAGATTTAACCTATTTATTTCAAAAATCTAGTAATAATTGAACATTTTAGAATACAACAATTAAAATTGAAAAATTATCAGTTTCGTTGCTATTAATCATATGATTATTTCAAATTAAATATATATAGAAGGAAAAATTAGATCTAAACAAACTTTCGAATATTTAATTTACTTGAAATTGATGATTTTATGTAAGATAGCATTTTGCAAAGAGATAGTGCAAAAAGAATTAAAAAAAAATCATTAATATTACATTTCTCTTTACATAAAGTCAATTTTTGAAATAACAATTTAATTATTTATTCTAGTTTAATTAATTATTTAATTAATGAATAATAAATACAAAAAGGGTTGTCAACACGAGGACTTCCCAAGCGGTCCCCCACCTTAGTACTAACCTCGCCTTAAGCCGCTTAACTTCGGAGTTCGAATGGGATCCGGTGCTTTAGGCTTAGTATGGCCGACAACGATATTTTAATACCTTATCATTATTTATACATCCGGCTTTCTTTTATACTCTATGAAATATTTAAAGTATAATAATAAATTTGAGCAGCTGGATCTAATCTGTAAAAAAGAATATCTATGCATGAGATAAACGAAATTAAGCTTATAAATATAGTTCATATTCTGATTGATCTAGTTAATGCTAATTCTTGGTAAAAAATTTCAATTTGCAATTTATTCTGCCATGAGTATTTATCTTTAGCATTATAGAGAGTATTATAACTAAATCAACTTTTTGATTAATATAAATGTTATTCCTTCATAAATTCTCTATCACAACATTGTCAATTGAAAATTGGCTATCCGTAACCTTAATATATTTATGTCACTCCTATTGAAAAAAATAATATTTATAGGATCTACTTTTGTATGGTAAAACTATAGATATCATCTTACTCTAGAATCTAAATAAAGAGCATCAAAATTTATGATATCCTGATAACATAGAAAATTTACAACATGGTTTAAACTAAAAGATGAACTATTAATTAACTGATATTTTACAGTGAGTCCAGATAATTGTCTTAAATTTTGTGTAGATGTAGATCAAATATATATTCTATTGCTATCCATCCAGAAAATGGAACATCCACACAATATTGTTGATAATGTATTAATTTAATGACAATAATTCAAATTTTTCGATATCTCCCCTATTTTTATAAATATTTAAGAGTTATAAGCCTAGTCTATCTGTTTGATTGAATATTTATTGAAATAAACATAAATTCATAATAATTTTTTTTATAGATAGTAACACAATGATTTGATATCATATTTTTACAGATACTCACTGTTCACCCATCGATTTTTTGGAATAATTCCTAATATATTAATTTTAAGAGTACCATTAGGTCGCTTTTGCCATAACAAATAATACATTTTGATGCCTGTTTATTTGATCTATGCAGCCTATCCTATTTTATCCAATTGATCTCCATATTCGAACCCTCCCTCATTGGGTTACTTGACCTCAGTATTCTTTTGAGATAATTCGGAAATTGAATCCTAGATATTCTCAGAATCCTGTTATTAATTTGGCTGGAGTGGTTTCTTTTCTGAGGGAAGGGTCTACACCAACTACAAATTGTCTTCCTGCTGTTTTTTAACTTGGCTTACTTCTTGCTTTAAAATGCTCACTTAATCTTGAAGTTTCTTTATTTATTCTTATTATTATTGCAATACAGATTGTTTTTATTGACTTGGCACTCCGATAAAATCTTCTAGCAAGGGTGGTTCATCGTTTTCGACATGATAAAAGTTGGATCCCAAATTTTTGACGTTCTATTCGTATTCACTCAAGAATAAAGGCAAATTGGGAATCTTCTCTGGTTTCTCCCAGGTACAATCTCNAAAAAAGGGTTGTCAACACGAGGACTTCCCAAGCGGTCCCCCACCTTAGTACTAACCTCGCCTTAAGCCGCTTAACTTCGGAGTTCGAATGGGATCCGGTGCTTTAGGCTTAGTATGGCCGACAACGATATTTACAATTCATCTCTCTATTTATAACACTTTAAAATGTTTGATTACATTGAAATTTATAATTTAAATTAAGAATTAAAACCATTATTCTCAAAAACTAGAGTATGTTGGAATCTTCTGCTTAATAAATTAAAAGACTTCAGAACTCTAATTAATTAGTTAATATACCCCATTATTTTCCAAAACAGTAAGAACTAGTCTTATTTGCTTTCCGAAAACTGAATGATTTTATCTCTGCCAAATAGGGACTAGGAACAATTTCATATATTTATTCAGATGAGATCAACGACATTGGATAAAGACATAAATTAAACAGATGTGGCTACATCAAAATTTATTATGTAGAAATGGTAACACTAATTTTGGTAGAACTAAGATGATTTTCTTACGCAGGCTAATTTTTATTTGAAGTTATTACTTCGTTTGATAGCGTGAATTAAATAGCAGTTGTGGCCATTGCTAAATACTGATGAACAACCTCTAATAGTCCATAAAACATGTAACTAATACTGGGTCATATGGGATGGTTTAGATGTTTACATCTTGAATCCATTAGATTTTCATACTCCTTTGAGTATTATAATTAATCTTGGAGGTGATTCCTTCTACTTCATAGACATAAGCAAATGAATTTCTAGTTTTACTATTGCATTTACATATCACACTAACATTTATTAGAGAAAAGATCAACTATCTTGATTATCTTTGCTACTAGTGGTTTTTTTTTCTTCTTTTGATGCTTTTATGCTATCATCAACTTTTCAGCCAATTGAGGATTCAGCTAATTAATTTTAATTGTAATCAGCAGCCACATAATTTCTATGTATCTGATTCGTTCTTTATTCGTTTGAATTTATTTTCCGATTCTAACAAAATTTTATCATAATATTATATTCATTATATCTATTGATTACATGAACTTACTAAATTATAAATAATGTGGTTCCTGTTATATGAAACAGTGTTTAGTTTTTCATTGTTTATAACATTTAAGTGTTTATTTGTTGGTAACATTGAATTATTATTATTATAGGTTTACCAACTCAAAAGTAGGAGTTATGTCTTTGAATTATTGAATAAAAACATATGGTTAAATTGCACTGATTGTAAAAAGACTTACAAGTACATTCATTCATGCTTAAGTAACTTAATTAATGTATAATAATTTAATTTAACCAAAATAAATTTCAAGCTATTCTTTTTTTGTGTTTAGGATGCTGATTTTGATTATTCCACTCATTATTTAGTCCTTACATAGTATGTAAGACATTGTCAATAACGCTTTTTATCTATCCTTAAAAAATATGCAAAAAAAAAAACTATATCACCTTAAATGACTCAAGAGTATTGTGAAAGTATTTTCAACTCGTTGACGTAAAACTCCCCCTTTAAGAGAGATGCAATACTTTTAATATTTGATGTGTCTAGTGGAAATATTTTATACTAAATTAATACAATAATGCGCATTATCCAAACCTATTCATTATTAAGGCTATTGTATCAATGGATCATCTTAAAATCATATAAATTTTGATGAATCATTGATTTCCTGTTCCCTGTAATAGTGATCAGTTAGTAATGGTATGTTGGAGGCTATGCTCAAGGATATATAAAAAAGATCATAAGAGGAAGCATTCATAACATTCTTTGTTGTTTACTTAAGAATTAGAATTTGCAGCAAATTCAAACATCAGTTATACATGCATTAAAATATAGTGAACATGATCCATCTAAAATTATTTTGTGCTAGTGTAATAGTGCCAGAGTTGAACCTAAAATAGCATAAAAATAGAATATCATTTGGGGTGCTGACAAGATTGCAAAGTTTACATTTTGTTAATTAAGAGTGATTTCAAGGTGCGTGATTTATTGACTCGCGTTTTAAGGTAAATTCACAATTAGTATAGGTGATTCTGAAGTTGACCTATTTATGTAACTTCACTCATAAAAACTGATGTTTCGTTCTGTCTGAAAGTTTGATAATACAATATTAATAGTACAACCTCTTCACATAAAATCAATTTATAATTTAATTTAAGAATTTTTACATGTAAAGTTACGTAAGTGGATATTCATATTTACAAAGTTATTCGCTTTACAACCTCCATTATTCAGAAGATTGTTCTTGTTTGTTATTCTTTGTTAATATATTAAGTAATTTAAAGAACCTTCAACCCCTAGTTGTTCCAAACTTTCCATAATTTTTTGTGATAACTAGTGTTTGTAAATATCAATTATATTTGATTGCATTTCAATCAATAAACCACAAAATTTCTAACTAATGTTCTATTTCTCATGTTAAGACTTTTAACTATTCAAAGCAAAGTTTTTCTGTTGTTAGCAAATAGTTATTTTAGGTATTTAGTTGGATTAACAGCTCATTAAATGACATATTTCAATAATGGTTTCAAGTGGTGGCAGATAGGAAATCTTCGTCAATATGTGTGTGAAACACACAAGAAAAACGTTTAGTCATGTTAGCATTATTTTAGTAAATGAGGCATCAAGATAAATATCAATTCAAATGGATAAGCGTTACAAATTTCAATGATTAGTATTTTAAGCAAATACAAGAGATTTATGTCTTATGAATACTACTGAACTATCAAAGAGATGAACTAAAAAAACAGATTTTGATTAATTAAAAATATTCAGAAATTTTTAGAAACAATACTTTATATTAAAGGGTTTTCCTAATGGTTGAATGAAAACATCATTAGAGAATTACAAGAGAATATATTTTGCATGTTTATTCAAACTTTACATTCGCAGTATGAAGACAAAATTGGCGTTGTAGAGCTGAGTAGTGGATGCACACTTTGTAAATAAACCCAAACGTAAGCCTCTAAATAAAGCTGCTTTAATAGCATAGACACCCTGTAAAATTAATAATAAGAATTACCCTCTTAATTGAATTGTATGTTACTATTAATTAAGCAAACAGTTACATGCAATTAAATCATTTAATTACCTTCTGATAGATATTCTTAACTTATGAAATTTATTCATAATAGAAGCGCGAAAGAATGCATTAAGTTGAAAACTATCTTTACAAGAAGGGACAACAGTAAAAAGTATTGCAATGCAATCTAAGCAATTTTATAAGTTGAACCATCTGTACTTTTAGTTCAAACTAAACAATATTTCAAGAACTACTCGCAATAATTATCATCAATGCCAATCTATTTGTAAAAAGACTTTTGATTACCACATAAGGCTTGATACTCTTGCAACTAATAATATATCGTTGGAATGAGTTTAATGCTGGCGAATTTGGATACTAAGTTTATTGTATTACCTACCCCCTTTAAAGCTTGCTGAACTTAAAGACCAATAATTCTTGTTTCTAAGTGTCAATTGCGTTGTCTAACGACCTACGAACCGATTAGCATCTAATTCTTTTGTTAACTATTTTGAGGCTTTTATGCAATACGTACAAAATTGGATTCATATTTAATAAGGGTATTGATTAAGGTAAAATTAGTATTTTAGCTCAGGTGTCTGTTAATTAAACTTCTTAATACACTCTGATCGTGTTGTTCCTAATATCTGTTAGAGTGCCCAAACCTTATTCTCATGCTTTTACAGACTCAACAAATGCTCAAGCTGTACTATTGGAATTCAGCTATACTCTATATTAGTTAGTTAGAAGCAATGTAAACTGTTTTTCTGGTAATGACAAAGCTTGTATAGAGCATGACCTGATTAACCAATGTGAATTATCAGTATCTCTACTTGGTTAAACTTGAACTGCCAACCTTACAGAAAATCATATATCGAAGATTGATAAAGTGTCCAAACTGCAACTCTTATGTTAAAACAAGTGTGATTTTATGATATTGACAATTTTAATTCACTATATAATGAATTTACACAATTATATATGTCTAAAATGTAATTCTGCTTTGTTCAATAATACTTTACTCTAGCATAATAAGGTATGCCTTTATCTTGATATTTTAATTAATTTTAGAGTCCCAAATTCCAACGCTTAATATCTTATCTACTCATGTAGCAGTTAATCATTTTATCTCTTACTAAATTGAAATGTCATTAAACTACTGGACAGGAATACTTGTTCTACAATTATGTGTCTTGACTTAATTGTGATGAGCTGTTGGCAACTGTTAGAATGACGTTTAATAATAATTTTTCTCTAACATTACAATAAATTTTTATTGGAGAAATAAAAGTATAAAGCAATGTATTGTTGAAATGATTGCAACCACAATTCCATGAAGCGTATAACTTCTTTAAATTCTGCAGTCAAAATAAAGTGTTGTTTATCTTTATTTACATAAATTTTTACTTTTGTTTTATTTTAGTAACTATTTGCATCTATTGAAAACACTGTTACACTTGTCGATTATGCAATTTATAATAGCTACTAAAGATTGCATACTAAATTTGAATTTACTTAACAATTTATCTCTAGGTGCAGTAAATAAAAAACAACAGTTTTCTCCCATTGTGATCCATGATTGAAGTCCATTTCCTTGCACTACTTACCAAAGATAATAGTTTGGGTGTGTTATAGTATTATATAGTCTCTATTCGAAATATCTAGTTCAATATTTTTAGGAAATCAACATCTAATTGTAAACTTAATTGGCCTATGTACCAATCGTGATATTTAGATTGCACATAAAAAATACAATCAAATTTAAGTATTTAGTCTCTGAATTTGATATTGGAGCTTCTAACCTAATAGTTCGCACTCTGTTTGCTTTAACTAAGTCCTAACCTTCAGTACCAATGATCATAAACTTTCTTTGATTATTCTATGACCAATAGTAACGCTTTATAAATGCCAGAGCATCTATCGCTGTAACTACGATTCCTTTGAAAAATGTCCAGTAGTTGATTAAGTTGATTCTGTAGCAAACAAACATGATAATGCTTGTAATTCATCAAATGATTCTTTTTTAATACTATCAATAAATCATAATTAATAACTTATGCTGTCATCTAAAGTCTTTTATGCTATTTAGAAATCAGGTTTGCCAACAAAATTTCAAACTAATGCCCTTATATTTTAGTTAACAGTAAAGTTTAAATCAAGGTCAACAAATAGGACAAGCGTGGTTATTCAGTATTTGCTGCATTATTATCATAACGTTACAATTTAGTTAACATGTGTCTCAAACCTTAAATACAAATTTAAAAATGGTAGGCTTTATATTTAATATACATGTGAGAAGAGCAGATTTGCTCAAATGATATGCAGAATATTTTCAGTATAGTAGGAGAGATAAGTCAGACATTTAGTGTGCAGCTGAAGGAAAGTTAAAGATTAAATAATTCAAATGTATTTTATTTTTTAGAATTAATTTTTATCAGTAACTAGAATTTTCAATCAAGACAACTAATATTTACAAAAAAACACCCTATAGAATTCCATTGTTGTTACATAATTATGTTTAAGAAATGCCTTTGAATAATGTATTTTTTGATCTCATTTAAGCAAATATAATGAGATCGCTACATAATTTATACTGCCATGATTTAATAATATTCAATGATGAGAATGTAGAAGGAGATTACTGAATACTATTATATGGTACTGGACTCTCCAAGTATTTCAACATGCGTCATCTTTACCTCATATTATGTGGTTTGTATCATAATAATTAAAAAATAGCGTCCAGTTGAACCGATTTCTTGAGAAAATTTGGTAATGGCACTAGAGGATGCACAATTTAATGAGTCAATACTTTGTTTCAAGCTTTTCTAATAATATAGATGAACCCTTACGAAGCACACTCTCAACCATTAATATCCATATTAAATTGTACTATATCTAGGACATAAAGCCCTCATATAAATCACAAGAATCATAATGAGAATAAAAAATGTCATCACCATCAGTTGAAAAAGTGGATGCACAAAGCTAATCTGACATTCAGAACTAAAACAAAATAAATACTAGTTTGAAGCTTTATTTATAGAATCTAGAGATATATCTTCTCCCAATTTTGTTAGCGCTTTCCGTGAATATTTATATAATGAAGATGAAAAGAAGTAGCAATAAGGAAAATTAAATAAGTACCTTAAGTAAATGAGATGGGATAATAATGATAAACTAAAATGCCGAACCACACTCAGTCTGACTAACTCTATCAGAATATATTGATGAACAAATCATAAAAAATATAGAAGTAAGACAATAAAGAGTGTTTGTAGTTGTGGTGGTAGATTTACCACAGTATGGAAAAAAATGCTTTAGCCGAGCCAGCACTTCATAACGAGCAAGTCACTGCATTCACAGTACTCTTTTTAAGGTAGCAGGAAAGCATCAGTTGTTTCAAAAAACGGTGAGCCAGATTTCTTTATAAAGTTGTGATTCGTTTTTTGGTTTTGTGCCTTATTTGTTGTTGTTCACATTACCAAAGAGTATTGCGTATTATTCTTAAAGTGGAGCCTGCTCTAAATCAGGATTAATAGTTTGCTCATCCTTTATTTACACTTTTTTACAATAAATTTTTTTTATCTATATTTATCACTCCTTGCCTATTAAATGAATAGTATTAAAGCATATACTATAAATTAAATAGCTTGGAATAACAGTGATGAATCACATGTATCACATCTCATCCTGCTATATAATTTCTTTCATAATAAAAATTAAGACCTTTGTAAACTTTTCTTTTTATTTCATGTTCAGGATTTGCACTTTGTGAAACTTTATCTTTATAGAGGAGTTTAAACAAAGATAGATATAAGTAGTATTTCCAAACTCATAGGTTCAATCATTTGTTAATAACCTGCCAATATATTCTGAAATTGAAATCGATTGCCTGAAATATCCATAATATAAGTGAGATCTATTGTTTATACGATTAGAGAGCATTACACAGATATGAAAAACTTCGAAAGTTAATTTNGATCTCATTTAAGCAAATATAATGAGATCGCTACATAATTTATACTGCCATGATTTAATAATATTCAATGATGAGAATGTACAAGGAGATTACTGAATACTATTATATGGTACTGGACTCTCCACGTATTTCAACATGCGTCATCTTTACATCATATTATGTGCTTTGTATCATAATAATTAAAAGATAGCGTCCAGTTGAACCGATTTCTTGAGAAAATTTGGTAATGGCACTAGAGGATGCACGATGTAATGAGGCAATACTTTGTTTCAAGCTTTTCTATTAATATAGATGAACCCTTACGACGCACACTCTCAACCATTAATATCCATATTAAATATACAATATCTAGGACATAAAGCCCTCATATAAATCACAAATGTCATCACCATCAGTTGAAAAAGTGGATGCACAAAGCTAATCTGACATTCAGAACTAAAACAAAATAAATACTAGTTTTAAGCTTTATTTATAGAATCTAGAGATATATCTTCTCCCAATTTTGTTAGCGCTTTCCCTGAATATTTATATAATGAAGATGAAAAGAAGTAGCAATAAGGAAAATTAAATAAGTACCTTAAGTAAATGAGATGGGATAATAATGATAAACTAAAATGCCGAACCACACTCAGTCTGACTAACTCTATCAGAATATATTGATGAACAAATCATAAAAAATATAGAAGTAAGACAATAAAGAGTGTTTGTAGTTGTGGTGGTAGATTTACCACAGTATGGAAAAAAATGCTTTAGCCGAGCCAGCACTTCATAACGAGCAAGTCACTGCATTCACAGTACTCTTTTTAAGGTAGCAGGAAAGCATCAGTTGTTTCAAAAAACGGTGAGCCAGATTTCTTTATAAAGTTGTGATTCGTTTTTTGGTTTTGTGCCTTATTTGTTGTTGTTAACATTACCAAAGAGTATTGCGTATTAATCTTAAAGTGGAGCCTGCTCTAAATCAGGATTAATAGTTTGCTCATAGTTTGCTCATCCTTTATTTACACTTTTTACAATAAATTTTTTTATCTATATTTATAATTCCTTGCCTATTAAATGAATAGTAATA